TTTTCATGAATTTGTAGACCATTGTAGCTTAAAAATCTTTTGCTACATACTACACAACTATATGGTTTCTCCTCAATGTGCATCTGCTCATGTTTCTTCAAGTTACTTTTACATACAAACTGTTTTCCACATACTAAACAACTGTATGGCTTCTCCCCAGTGTGTATCTTCTCATGAATGTTTAGACCATTTTTACTCAAAAATCCTTTGCCGCAAACTGCACAACTGTATGGCTTTTCCCCAGTGTGTATCTTCTCATGACTATTCAAATTACTTTTATGTGCAAATCCTCTACCACATGCTGTACATCTGTAAGGTTTCTCCACAGTGTGTATCTTCTTGTCACTTGTCAGAATATTTTCACTTATACTCCTGTCACCAGTACTTATACCCTGATGTTCTTTCAGGTGATCTCCACTGAAGATTTTTTCATACTTCTTTGGATCTAAAATCAAAATAAATTAATATATAATATCATACACACAAAAATCAAAATAACAAACATACAATTAATATTATTTATTTGATATATACATAACTTTAGAAGAGAAACAAGACCACACACACCTTCTTATTTTGGTTTTTCTATACATATTTATTTTACTAACTTCAAATGCTTCTTTGAGTTTCAAAAGTACAAGAAATTGTGAAATTTACCAATATTTTGAACCTAGCAATATCTTGACAAAAACTAAAATACCATGAGAAGATAAAGAAAGAAGTAATAATATACACTACATTTGTTATGTAGGTTTTCCATACAAATTAACTTCTTTGCACTTTAATTTTTTCTACTCAAAAATAAAAACATCCACACAATCATTATTCTCTATAGACACCTGACAACCCTGAGGACTAAAAGAGATGAGCAAAGCATCACACTGTACGATGAACTGGTCAATCATCACTCAATTAAGTACATGTGGATTTACTAAGACCCAATAATAAAGGTTGTCTGCTATGGATGAGCTGCAATCCCACATGTCAGAATAAGCATGAATAATGTAAAGAGTGGGCTACACCACAAACTTTTAAACCACTC